ATCTAAAATGTTCAAAACAAGGCCAGAAGAAACCAAAGGATGCAGCTGGTGGTAAGAGATGTAAGTGGTGCATTACTGCATAGCCATGTCGTATGGGTAAATAACTGTTAAGGATCATCTTCTGCTCAGAGCTTCCTGAAAACTCATTATGTCACGCTGCATGTGTATTACTTCCGGTGTGTGTCTCTAACACAGATCCAAATAAACTAGAAAATGACAATGAACCAAGTGAAAGTGACGTGGATGAGGGCTCTACTGGACAGATCAAGAATCTAAAATGTTCAAAAAAAGGCCAGAAACCAAAGGATGCAGCTGGTGGTAAGAGATGTAAGTGGTACATTGCTGCATAGCCATGTTGTATGGGTAAATGGCCAGACAATAACTGTTAAGGATCATTTTCTGCTCTGAGCTTCCTGAAAACCCATTATGTCACGCTGCATGTGTATTACTTCCGGTGTGTGTCTCTAACACAGATCCAAATGAACTAGAAAATGACAATGAACCAAGTGAAAGTGACGTGGATGAGGGCTCTACTGGACAGATCAAGAATCTAAAATGTTCAAAAAAAGGCCAGAAGTCAAAAAATGCAGTCAGTGGTAAGACTGGTGCATTACTGCATAGTGACATGCAGGTTAATGGCCAGACAATAACTGTTAAGGATCATCTTGTACATGGCCAGGTCTCCCTTGTAGAAGAGATTTCTAGTCTCAGTGGGACTTCCTGGTTAAATAAAGGTAAATAAATTACATTTCTATAAAAGGAAGGTAAAATAGTGGCTCATAAACTTAACAGATTTGGCTTTATAGCAACATTGTGTGTTTTCAAATGTTATGTTAGGACTGAAAATGTTATCATTTTAAAACAAATTTAAATACCTGTTTGGGCGATGCAAATGACTTAATATTTCGATTTTAAAGGCGAGAGTACATGTCCTAAAGACGACAGCACGTGTGACGAGACTGAAGATATCGCTGACCCTTCAAAACGTACAAAACGTAAAAGACAAGGACCACTGATAGAAGATTTGGTGACTGGTAAGTAATTGCATATAAAATCATCAGCGAAAGTTTCCATATGCTTTTAAGGATCATGTATGTTATCACAGTCTTGAGTGTCCAATGACTCCTATAACTCTGAATTTTCTATGATGGGAACACTGAAACACGTGTCTTTGTGGAAAAAATAAATAAACAAATGTTGGTCCTCTGGAAATATGACAACGTCTGCTGGGTCAAAATGTACTTACAGCAACTTAAATGATAATTTTCTGTGATTTAAAGGTCTTCCTTCTAAGTTGTCTTTCTTTCCATGCAAGAAGGAAGACCCTTCTCCAGAAACAGCACCTTTTAGCTCAACTGAAGCTTCCTGCTGATCACATAGACAAAAGCAGTGATCTTGGATGCAACTGGGTGTTTCAACAAGACAATAAACCGAAATGCACATCAAAAAAGTCATGGCTAAATCAGGCTAGAACTCAGGTTTTAGACTGGTCTCCCCATAGTCCTGGCTTTAACCCCAATGGAGCCTGTAAACTGGGATGAAGACACAATTCTGTAACAGAAAGCCAACAAATTTAGTTGTACTGCACCAATTCTGTCAAGAAGAGTCATTAAAGATACAACTGGAAGCTTGTGGACGGCCACCAAAAGCACCTAGTTGAGGTGAGAATGGCCAAAGGACATTTAATGAATTATTAGCATTTCTGTGCATACATTTCTGACCCAGCAGATTTTGTTAGATTTCCAGAAGATCTTTAACAAATCTATAAAAGAACCAAAATGCATGATTGTCACAAAAAAAAAAAAAGATGCATGTACCACCAGTACACAGAGTATGTTTTCAGGCTGTTGATAGAATAGAATAGACTAGAATAGAATAGAATAGAATAGAATAGAATAGAACTTTATTGATCCCTTTGATGCAAACTTCAGGGAAATTGTTGAACTAGAAAAACGACAACACAACACCAACACAACATCAGCAACAACAGTAACAACAACAATAGTAATAATAATAATAACACTGGATACAGAAACAAAATTTGCCAAAGTGCCAAACTATTGCACACAGCCTGATGATAGAGCATGATGCTCTATCTCACCCCAATGTCCTCACTCCTCACCCCTCGCTCCCCACCTCTCCCCGCTTGCTGCTCCTCCCCCTCCCCCCAAGCTCAGAGTTGAACAGTTTGATGGCTCGAGGGACAAAGGAGTTTTTGGTCCTGTTGGTTTTGCACTTGGGGAGGAGCAGCCTGTCGCTGAACTGGCTCCTCTGGGCGATGATGACAGTGTGCAGAGGGTGTTCAATCAGACAATCAAACAATAAATTGATAGGTGTTATCTGTGCTTTAGTAGTGTCCCACTGGGATAGTGTACAGCTGCATTTTTTTCCATTATATTACTACACAATGTTATTTTTATATTGTTTTAGCGTTTATGCCTTTGTTGACAGTGGCAGTAGTGGCAAAGAAATTAAGTAAAGTGAGAAGTTATAGAATGTACTAAAGGTGTGGCTAGTTTGGGATTTTTGCTGTAGATCTAACAATACACATCATCACCCACAGTTATTCAACAACACTCCCAATTACATCTATTCACTAAATGGACCTTCACAACTTCTACTACATGTACAGTAGTACAAGCACTGTAATGACAACTTTACAATCACATAACTTGTGATTTGTGAGGCGTTTATGCCATTTTCTGACTTGGAAGCTCAGGAACTTCAGCTACAACTTTATGGTCCTTTGTACATATGTAACATGGTTATCATGAAAATTGAAAGTATATAGTTTGCAGCATTTAAAGAATGATGCTTTAGTTACTTAAGAGTGAAGAAAGATATGCTTCCATGCTTCCATTGAAATCGGTTCCTTGTGGACTGATAATAGTAATATTTATCTATTCGCAATTACGTCTGAATGTTGTTTATCTTGTTTCTCTGTGTTCAGTGTTGAAAAGCAAATTTTTCACAGCAGGGAGTCAGCGAGGAGTAGAATTGCACTGCAAAGCAAAATTGTTTAGTCATCCTCTTTTCCATTCGACACCATTGTGCCTGATGGATCTGTAACTGGCTAGAGATAGAATCAATTTTCTGTGGCCAGTGAATACTTGTTGAACAAAATTCTGAAATGCATATCACAGAAAAAGGCATATTAAAAAACAAAGCAGAAAAAGTTATGAAATATATATATAAAAATAAATCATCATGCTAAAACTGGTAAAAACAAAAATAATAATAATAATAATAATGACAGTCTCTAACTGGTGACTGTTCTCAGATCCGGGTGTACATTTCATCTGGGGTTTGTCTGATGTCAATGCCGTCATCAATGAGACAGCTGAGTTAACATGCAAGCTCAGCAGTGAAGACTGTGAAGGAGTCTGGTTCAGAGACAACAAAAAGGTGAGTCAAAATAAGAATTTTTGGAATTGTGCTATTAAGACATGGGGAGGTGCAGATTTGCTCTCACGTCTGCATGTAGTTTGGTTCATTTGGTTCAAGGGAAGAAAAAAAAAGTTGCATTAATTTACTTTAGTTCAGGTGTGGTTCTGTCTTCACATTGAGGTGTGTATATTGAATCATTTGGATTCACAGTTTTGTTGAAGTCATCCTGCATCATCGTCATCACTATGGACCAACACGGAGAAATCATATTCCTGTGAATGCAGCTTCTTGAGTTTATCTTTTCTAATGACCATAAAGCTCACAAAGAAAAAAATGAGTATTAGCATCCAGAGTGTAGCTGGACATAAAGCACAGTAATGGCATGGCCACTATACTTCCTTTATTTACTACATGGAAGACACAAGCTTGGCACACCACTGGCTCAACTTCCATTTCTTTTTGTAATATATCAGAAGAAATATCTGTAGGAATATGTTAAGATTTACCTGCTACAGTGGCATGATTACAAAATTATCTCATCATAAAGATGGATTTAATGGGATGTAAATTTATGCTAAAATGACATATCGACTCACCCAGCACTTAGCTTGATCTTTTTTTGCTCTCACACAAATCAGCCGCATCATTTTTTTCTAAAGCAAACTGAGACCTTCCTTTTCAGGGGACTTCAATTCTGCAGCAACAGGAATTTCAATGAGTGATCAAATATAGAAAAACAAAACAAAGAAGAAGCTTTTAAATCCTAGACAAACTGTACTAGACAAGCAAATGCACAAGAGTGCATTTGAACTGAACCAGACAGGTTAAGCTTGTCAGCACTGTAACACAGGGATTGTCAACGAGCTCTGCCCCGGGGCAACTTTTGCAAAATGACAGAAGGCCAGGGGCCATAATCCACCTTTACTGGAAAAGATTTATTTTTAAATTAACTAAGCAAAAGCACTCAACATTTACTATTTAAACCTATGATAAAACTTATCAGTGTGATTTAATATATATATTTTTGTGAATCAGAAAAGTCAGCTGATTTGACCTGTGGGCCATAAGATGAGCGTCACTGCCCTAAGACATGTGCTATGTAATCACAGAACAATGTACAATGCTCTCCTTACATTTCCTATTCATCGCCACTTGAAATATGAAGGCAAGTACACCAAAAATTGCATTAAAAAACACATTATGACTATTGCAAGTCTTGCCAGTGTTGGTGCCATAAAATTATCATAGGTTTCACTATGTGTTTCTTTCTCATTTACTTTAAATATTTGGCAGATGCTTCAAAACTTCGGGCCTCAGTGGGACACAAAGCCCTCTGAGCCCTGGGGTGTTTCTGATGTTAAAAACTTACCTTCAGTAGTTGGTGCTCGATTTGTTTTTACTTGTGTTTGCACTTTTTTCTGTCAGATATTCCCAGATGACAATTTCTCAATCACTAAAGATGGTCCGATCCATAAATTAGTCATAATCAAGTGCAAAGACGAACATTCTGGGAAATACCGCTTTGAGGCCGATGGTCGTAAAACAGAGGCGATGATCAACGTCAAAGGTATGAAAATTTGCCATTGTAACAATACTGATGCTGGATGTTGTGCAGTAAAATATTCACAGTGTTTTAGGTAGCTGACAAGCTATTTAAGCATTAAAATATCCCTAACGCGACCTCTTCTTGATTTTAGATCCCCCCAGATTTCACCCTGAAGCCCTCAATGATTTCACTGAGCCTGTGATAATAAAAGTGGGGCACAACGCCATCTTCAAACTGCATTTTGTCGGCTACAAACCCATAAAAATCAAGTGGTACAGAGAAGGAGAGGAACTCCACGATGATACCAATACAAAGATAGAGAAATCTGAGAGTCACAGCCGCTTGCTGCTGAGCAGGTGTCAGAGGAAGGACACAGGAGAGATCAAGATTAAGCTCAAGAACGAACATGGCTTCACTGAGGCAGTCTCTCAGCTGATTGTGCTCGGTCAGTAAATTAAGGACGTAAGGATGTAGAATTCTAACAGTAAAATCACAAAATGTTGGACCGCTTCAAATAAAAATGACCAACTATGCATCAAACTGTAGACATGATATGTTTTGATTAGTGCTGTAGTAAAAAGTACTTTGGTGTAGGAAGCAAACAAGAAATCGCTTAAATGCTTCATCAGTGCTTCAGTTCTTAATGCAGTTCTCAATTTAATGTACCACTGACAGAAAAAAAAACAAAACTGTTCTCCACAACTGTTCTAGTCCAAGTAAAATCCTCTAATTGTAATAGATTAAAGATGTGTTTGATAAATGCATTTCAGAGCTGCACAAAGTTATGTTTGGTTGATTCCTGAAAAAAAGTTTCCTTATTATGAATACTGCATTCATTCCCTCACACGTAAGCAGTGAGAAACTTTCTTCAATGAAATCTTCTGACGTTTCAGACAAACCGACCTCCCCCTTGGGTCCTGCAGAGGCGACTGAGAGCTCAGCTGCGTGTATTGAGTTCAGGTGGCGGCCTCCAAAGGATGACGGTGGCTCACCAGTCATCAACTACATCATGGAGCGACAGCAGGTGGGACGAAACACCTGCAAGAAAATAGGGGAAATCCCAGGCGTGCCCTGCTACCGAGACACAGACGTGGACCGTGGACGGAAATATTGTTACCGCATCCGGGCACTGACTGCAGAGGGCATGAGTGAAGTGATGGAGACGGACGAAATGCAGGCTGGTACACTTGGTGAGCAAACCTGATACTAATGTAAAATAATCTGAGAGATTTTCCATTTGTAATTTTGTATGGTCTTCACCTTAATTTTCAAATTATTCAGATAATTTGTTCAGCAGATATGATATTGTAGCTTCTTAAACTTAACATTTAAGGTAGTCAGGTATTTTGTATTATATATAAAATATTGGTAAATAAAGGTTTTATATTGTAGGGTCCTAACCATAATATTTCAATTACTCTGATAACTGTACATAATAAATATTACTGAAAGATCATGAATTTAACAAATAAAATTCATAATGCCTGTATGGGTTTCCTCTACCAGAACGCACTTTGGCTCATTTGCGGTTGCTTTAAATTGGCTATACAAAAAATTGTGAATTGACTTGACTTTATGCGAGTTCCCCACTCATCGATCTATAGTTGAATGAACAGAGGACAAACTGCTTTCAAGCCAGTTAAGCACAACTGAAACCCATTCACACCAACATAACTGCTTTCAACTCATCCTGATGCATACTACATATTCTTTAGATTCTGATAATCCAATGCCACAATAAAGAAACTATCGAGAAGATTTCTTAACCTTCCATAAGTAAAAACAATTCCTTTCAATGCTACTCAGCAGACAAAATAAACAAATATGTAAGACAATGCAACCGTCCTTTTTGCTGCTTTACAAAATCTCCAAGTCAGTATCTCAGGCCGCAGATATGCAGCTTCAATCATAAGGTGACATCTTGTGTTCCTCTCCACCATCAGGCCATTAGAAGGTTTCAGGTGTATATAAACCTAATCATGGCACAACAACAAACTAACACAAAGCCAGAAGAAAAGGCCCACATTCAAAAGGTCACAACAAGCACAGCACAACGGCCTACACAGCACAAGCTTAACAAAACAGCGCAAGCACAAAGCAAAAAAAAAAAAAAAAGAAAAAAGAATGACTTACTGTTTTTATGTCCGCTTGAAAAATACTCCACTCTTGCTTCTCGAAGTCAGCATGTTGTACAAGCTTTTCATCTTGCCTTTATCAGTCTTTTAGTCTCCACAGAAACACTGGCCAGACTTGAAAGTCATCCTCGACAAGTGTGGTGAGTCCTCACTGTAGTCATGGTCCAATTATTCTCCTCAAGCTGTTAGAAAACAGCGGCATTCATTTAGTATAGCAGAAACATCAGTGGACCTGTTTTGACTTGACACAGTAAGGAAAGCACAGGTGTATTAATGATGGCTGAATTCCATTAAGTTACCCAGGAGGCCGTGACAATGACAACAGCATGCACAGAAGCAGGGCCTCCTCTAGATGGAATGCAGCCATCATTAATACACATGTGCTTTTCCAACTGTGACAAATTGAGATGTTTCCGGTCTGTCACTGCCAGCTTAAACACATGACCCCCTCCCTTTCATCCTACATCAGTCTATCTGGAGATCTACAAAGAGAATACAAAGAGAAGTTTGTCTTCTCCTCTCAAACACATTTTCCTCTTGAAAATCTGGTGTTTAGTTTTTCCTACATTCACCCCCTGAATTAGGTTGTTAACTTAGCTGGTTGTTACGTGTGAACCAATACTTATGAACACCACTCTTAGCTGGATCTGTTGGTGTCAGGAGTAGGCCCACGTGTGGACACAAAGGTAGGTTTCAAAATCTGAAAGCATGGGGAACAAACAAAGTAGATCAAAATGATAAAAAAAATAATTAAATGCACAAACCCGAGGAACACTGGGAGAACTCAGGCAGGGAGGCAGACAAACTGGTAAATGATAGGGAAACACAAAACGACTGAGGAAACAAGACACAGGTGAAACTAATGAGGATGGCACAAACAGGAAGTAAAGGGGAAGTAAAACCACAGGAGACACAAGGAAAGGCATATATTCAAAATAAAACAGGAAATCAATTATAACGAAAAAGCAAAGATCATGACAGAATCTTTCTCCAGTGACTTTTATGGTATATTATTGCCAGATTAACTGTGAATTCTAACAATTGTGATAAATAATACATATAAATGCTGCAGTGTATTTTATCATAGGCCTATATAATCGGGGTGTTGTACTGTTGTCCACTGGGAAATTACAGAGCTTCTGGTGAACTTTTTTTCTTCAAGGCAGTTTAATATGTTGTTTCATCCACATTAACACAAGGTCGAACAAGTCATGACTCTTTGTGTTCTAACCACAGCAGCCCAGAGCTTTTTGTTCCATTCAGTCGGTGAACAAATTCGAGGTTCATGCCAGTTACGAGGGTGGACGACAGACAAAATATAGCAAGATATACATTCAGAGAGCAAATATATCTGTTTTACATCATTAAGCATAAATGAATCACTTTGTTTGGTTTAATAATCACAGGCAGATTTTCAACAAGCAGCCAAAGGTTTACCACAGTGTATGTCTTTTTCACAGCAGACATTTTTGACTTGTCAGCACAGGGACAGCACAGTGTGACAGTGAGTCAACAGGAAGTGAAGCTGAAATAGCTGAACTATTATTATTATTAACGCCTGTGCTTTTCCTGTGTCCATGTTAAAATGTGTGGAAGAGATTCAGAGTAATTACTGCCCCCTGCTGTGCTTTACTGCTACTGCTACGGGCCTGTACTCTTGTCTTTGCTTATGCATCCTGTATGGAGCTAAAAATCATGATTATTGGTATTATTGGTTGTTAGCTGAATTAAAGTTGAACATCTTTCTTTTTTTTTTGTCTGATCAACAACCCAAATCTCAAAACATATTTACAGCATACCATGAAATAAGAGAAAATATGAAAATCCTTACACTTCAGAAACAAAACTTACTAAACTATTATCTCATTTCAGCTGATTAAATTATTTAATTCTTGACTTTCATATAGTAAATCCTGCAAAACACAGCACCACTCTCTGATGTCAAAGCAGTTAGCTTCATTAGTGATAGAATCAGAACATAATTCAATTCCTTACGTCACACTGGTGGATACTTTTATTCTCTGAACCGAGCGGGGTTTCAGGCTACACAAGAACAGCTCAGCATCTCTGACTGCACCCTTTATCTTTCCTTTGTTTCTGCATTCGTCAGCTTTTCCAGGCCCTCCAGCACCTCCGAAGGTGGTCGGTGCCTTCAGTGACTGCATAAACCTTTCATGGGCTTCACCGAGCAACACAGGTGGTTCACGTATCCTGGGCTATATTTTGGAGAAACGTAAGAAGGGAAGTAACCTCTGGACTGTTGTCAATGCCATGGATGAGCTAATAAAAGGTAAGTACTTTTATTTTACCTCATAGTTCAGTTTGATGGCATTGTAGACTATAACCATGACCATGACCATAAGATTTTTTATTTTTTTTTGCTGTTGTTTTTTTGTGTGTCTCTCACTCTATAAAATTACCTGTAGAAAAGAAATATGCAGTGAAGGATGTTGTGGCAGGTATGGAATATGAGTTCAGAGTTACAGCCATAAACCTCTCAGGACCTGGTGAATCTAGCAACCCTTCAGAGTTTGTTTTCGCACGCGATCCAAAGAGTAAGTGCTGCATCTGTTTCCCATGTTACACCAATCAATAAACAATATAGTGTTAATATATTGTGTACAGATTAAAGCAGAATATATTATATTTGGTATCTGTACTTCTCTAGAGCCTCCTGGTAAAGTTACAGGCCTGAAGGTGACAGAAACTTCTTACACCCACTTTGTCTTGAATTGGACCAAGCCTGAGGAGAAACTGGGGATACAGGACGAAGCAAGAGGGTACTTTGTTGAAATTCGGCAAGCGGACTGCATGGAGTGGTCCCGCTGTAACAGCACCCCCATCATCATGACTTCATTCAGTGTGAAAGGCCTCAAGTCCATGGACATGTACTGGGTGAGAGTTATTGCGACTAATGATGGAGGGGAGAGTGTCCCAGAGGAGCTGTCCAACTATGTCCTGGCAATGCCCTCGCCTGGTACGTCAACACTTCTTAGAAATTTAAAGTTCTGCTGGTTAGCTGTCGTTGTTATCATCTTGAAAAGTGGCAAAATTGTGAGGTTAAAATTAACTGGTCAAAATCCTTTACATCAGCTCAATGGCTTTATGATTTCTCTTCCCATTTACTGTTTCACTTATTGCACTTTTGGACCTCCTGATATTTTGAATGAATCTCTTTTATCTTTCTGCTTTGGTGAAGGCTGTTTACTTCTGTGGATTTATCAACTTGAAATTACATTCTGTCTCTATTAACTTCAAGTTCAAGTTTCAACAAAAGTGTAAAAATGATCTTTACTTCTCTTTTAGAATTGTGTCTGATGTCACGATTTCTATGTTGTTGGTTTTTTTTTTATTTATCTGGGTTACAAAGTAAAGAAAAGAAGTGAAAAGTCATGTCACATTTTACATTCATGTTTAAGTAAAGTGAATACTTAAGTTAAAAAAATGGAAACTTCAAATGGACTTTTCTTAAAAGTTGCAGTATTACTTGTTTGAGAAGAATTCAATGATTTAAGTACACGTAACTTAAACCAGTGGACTTAATATGACTTGTTAGTATAATCTGGATAAACTTCATTCAGTTACGTGTTACCAATTGCAGTAATTCATTTAAGTTGGTCCATTAATTCTCTTTTTTTAATACATGGTCCAAAACAACGTCGTTTCTGTTTATTATTTTAGTGAGGCCAAAGTTCACCAGCAATAAGATGAAGACTTTCGTGGTGGTGAGGGCTGGAAACTCTGTCAGAATCACAGTAAACTTTGAGGTGAGATTGATGATATACTTCAGCCTCATAATATGTTCCGTTTTGAGGCGCGCCGTGGTTTTGCAGAACAGCAGTAAAATCTAAAGCAAACTGATGTACATTCACCTAAAATGTCAAGATATTACTAGTGTTCTGTTCAACAGGCCTCTCCACGGCCAGAGGTCATGTGGCTGAAGGACAACGTGCCCGTGACAAAGCGGGTCACAATCAGCAACTCCGATGGCTCCTCCCAGCTGCTGATCCCAACCTCGGAGCGCTCTGATTCAGGCATCTACTCCATTTTGGTGAAAAATCTTGTAGGACAGGAGACATTCAGCACAGAGGTCAGGGTTACAGGTAAAACTTAAAAACTACTTTTGCACTTTTAAAGACCTGTTAATGGAGCTGATGTAAGTAAAACAGACTGTGTTTACAGATGATCCAAAGCCTCCTGGACCCGTAGAACTGGAGGAGAACGTGCCGGGAACTGTGACGGTAACCTGGGAACCTTCTCCTGATGAGAAGCGTGATGACCGTCTCCACTACACGGTGTCCAAACTAGACTCTACTAAGCGCACGTGGGCCACAGTGGCTGACAGACTCTTTAATAACAAGTTCACAGTTTGCAACATCATGCATGGGAGGGAATATCATTTCAGAGTCTACGCCAAAAATGACATGGGCATATCTGCACCCTCGGAGTCACCAACCTGGGGGACGGAAAAGAAGAAAGGTGCCTTTGTGTATCTGAAATTCCAAATATTCATTCGTCTTTCGGGACAGACTGTAACCATACTGTGTCTCCTCTCTTGTAGCAAAGTTTGTGATAAATGTACCAAGCAGAAGGGACTGTGATTTGCGATGTGCTCCTACCTTCATTGTACCGCTGAAGCTCCACACGGCACCCAAAGGTTACGAGTGCTACATGAGCTGTGCGGTGAAGGGAAACCCCGCGCCCCGTATCACGTGGTACCGAAATCACATCAGCCTTAACACAAATACCAACTATTACATCTCCAACACCTGCGGCGTTTGTTCCATGTTGATCCTTCGTGTGGGTCCCAAAGACATGGGGGAGTACACTATCACTGCAGAGAACAGCTTAGGACGGGCCGAATGCACCACCGTTCTCAGTGTCCGAGGTGAGACCGAAACACTGCTGCAGCTTACGTTAAAAGGGTGGTGGAAGATGAAAATAATTAATTGTAGATTCTTTTCTCTTTCTCCCCTACAGAGTGAAGAAACAGAGAGCACCTCCGTGTTGTACGAGCAACATTTAATTGAAAGATGAGCAATCTAATAAAGGGTGAATGAAGCCACTGCTTGGAAATCAAACGCTTGCTGCACTGTGCTGTTAAAATAAAACGATTTCACTATTAAAACCCTGCATCCCTGTATGTTTTGAAATTCATTCCACTGTGCGATTGTTGTCGGGAAATCAAAGCATCAAAATAATGGTTTGGTTAAATGTTTTGCTCGTTAGTTGTTAATACAGTACAGTGGTACAGCAGCTTATTTTTTAGGGATTCCTCGGCCTCTGATTTGCTGCCAGTCTCTGCTCTTCCTTGACCTCTTTCCCTGTCTTGGTGAGCTGGTGCCTAATCAGCAGGAAGTATGATCAGAGGCTGGCTCACCTGCCACAAATGACCACACCCATGTTCAGACTTCACTCTCTGCCAGATCGTTCGAATTTCGTCTTGAGCATCAACTGATTTCCTGTCTCGTCCACGTATCACTGCCTGCCATGAAACAGTCTTCCTGTTTTTCCCGACTGCTCTTTCCAGCCCCAATTTGTCAGCTAAATTTACCTTGTTTTGTCAGTTCCACTTTCCTTTGTTCTCTCAGTCTCTACTTGTAATTTCCATTTTGTTACTCCTTAGGCCCGTGTGTTTTGCTAAATGTTGCCCCTAGCTTTTCACCTCTGCTCGCTTTTTCTGACTACTGTTTTCAATTCCCAGTTTACTTAGACTTGAGTTTAGTTTGTACTTGCTTACTCTCCCTAGTTCACTCCCCTGGGGTATTTGGTTATTTGTGTTTGGATCCCTGCACATAGATATTCATTCAGTAGTTGCACTTGTAGTCCACTTTGTAAAATAAACACTTTCTTCACTCAGTCTTTGGTCTCTTTATCCTCATTAGTGTCTGCATCTAGGCTCTTCGTAAACCCCATGTGACATATTTAATATTTTACATTAAGATGCTGATGGGGCTGCAAGGTGGTTTGGTGGATAGCACCGTTGCCTCGCAGCAAGAATGTCGCCGGTTCGCGTCCCGATGAGGACACCATCTTTCGAGTTTGCGTGCAGCGTGGTTTCTCTCCGGGTTCTCCAGCTTCCTCCCACACAGTCCAAAAACATGTTGAGGTTAATTAGTGATTCTAAATTGTAGGTGTGAATGTGAGTGTGCTTGGTTGTCTGTCTCTAAGTGTAGCCAAGTCAGCTGGGATAGGCTCCAGCCCCCTGGTGAGGATTAAGCGGTGTATAGATAATGGATGGATGATGCTGATGACTCACTAGTAACACTGTGCTAAAATGTTTTTTTTCTCATACATCTTAAGGGTTGTGTTGGAGTAACTTTAAAGTATAGCTACCAAAAAGTGATTCAGCTGAAGAACCTGTTGAACAAGTTCTCCAAAATTCACCAAATATGTCAGTATTTTTAATATTACACATTAGTGCAGTGGATTATTATTATTATTATTATTTTAAATCATGCATGAGTCAAACGCTGAGCAGAAACATAATGTAAAGCACTTTGTATTACCAATGTAGTATTTGCAAAATTTGCAACTGTCTTGTTTTTCTGTCATATTTTGATTAAAAATGTATGATGGAACAAAAGAAAAATTACATCGATAAAAATCCCCCAAAATTATCTTTGTAAACAATTTGTATTATTAAACATGACTGAAAACGTTTGTGGATGGGCCATTGGTGTATGAGCTTTAAAATCCGATGTCATAAAATATAAATAAAGTGATTCTCAATAGTCTTGTGGAGAGTAGTTGAGTTTAGTGCTGCACAAACAACATAAAAAAACAGATAATAGAAGTGAAAACAGATGTGAGTTGGCATAATAAAATACATAGATAAACAAGAGACTCATAAAATAAACTGAGGAAACTTATTTTGCTAAGATTTAGGATTATACTTTAAACTGTCCTGTTTGATGAAGCTTTGTGTTAGAGCTGGGTATCTAAGTTATGCTGCTACAGACTCCTGGGGGGGATTTCCCATGATGCACCGAGCACCTCTCCTCCACCACTGCATGTTTCCAACTTTGTCTGACAAGGAAAGAAACCTTATACATAAAATCAAAGTAGACAAAATGAACCTAATCACGCTATTTGTGTCTTCTCTCTCTTCCAGTTTGTGTTTTGTCCTCGCTGCAGGAATTTCTGGATGTGGAGTGACATGTTTCTGACTTAGTGACTTCACCATCCTCCTAGGTCTTGTTTTCCATTGCTTGTGTTTTTTTAATTTTCTTTTTATTTTAATTGAAAAAGCAAGTTATTACATTTTCAAAGCATATTGTGTTTACAACATAAAGACCTTACTGCTTTTCCAGTATTTTCTTTTCTTTTTTAAAAAATCAATATTTTGTTATTGCACAAGAACAGCAGAACAATAGGAGCTTACTCTTTGTAATTATCTACACATCACTCAATTTAAAAAAATTTACAAAGCAGATAAAGAGTGCCAGTTGGGTTTTACATAGTTCATCCTTTTAGTTAATGGTTCTTTTTTTGTACTCTCAGGGAAAATGTCAACTTTTGCAAACCTTTATTTTTGTAAAACTTTATGTAAACCTCATGTACAGTGTTAATCTAGTCCTCACTGGTTGTTGGTTCTACTTATAACCATTTCCTCATGATGACTGTTTTACTTGCTGTCAAATATCCATCCATCCATTATCTATACAC